AATATGCTGACTCTTAGAGAGGGCTGAAAGCCCTATGAAGCGGTATATAAGTCTAACTGCTATTGCTAGAGGGGAAGTTTGGGAACAGGATGCCTGGGTGCTGGGAGTTTGGGCTGAGTCTGTCCTAACAAGGGGAAATTTCTTCCACAAGCACTTTCCAAATGTATCACCCGTTGAATACCAGGAGCGTCCTGTCAAATATTGCCCAGAACTTTGTGGATTTGGGCTTTTCAGACTTTATTCCTGGCCCTGAACAAATGAAGTACTAGCGAAAGTAAGGTGTTATATATCCCTATATCAGTGTTTCTCAACTTTAGCAACTTGAAGATGTCCGGACTTCAACTCCCAGAATTCCCCAGCCAGCGAATGCTGGCTGGGGAATTCTGGGAGTTGAAGTCCAGACATCTTCAAGTTGCCAAGGTTAAGAAACACTGCCCTATATAGATAAGAAATCTCTCTTTTATTATCTATTTTTGTAGATTGCTAAGATCATGCTTCTCTCTCTTTTCTCTCTCTCTCTCTACTGAAAGGTTTTCCCTGAGTTCTTTCTGATGGGCCTCATTTTGCTAATGTGCTGTTGTTGCTCCCATCTTGTTTTATTCTTTTTGGACGGGAAAACTAGGATTGAAATATCTTGAATCTTAAATGATTAAAAAAAAAGGGCTGGGAGACTTCCAGAGTGATTGGAATGGTCAACCACGGACCAGATGAAAAATAATGCTTCCAGGGCTGGCCTCCTGGAGGTGACGAAGCAAAATTATTTTCTAAAGAAGAGGAGGAAGGAAAAAGTGAGAACCGGAGGCAGAGACAAATGTCCTTCTGCAACAGGGGCCGGCAGCCTGCACCTCTGGAGCCGCACGTGGCTCTTTTAATCCTCTGCTGCGGCTCCCTGGCGCCAGTTGGCTCCACAATTGGTAGGGCTTTCGGTTAGGACAGGCAGAGGAAAAAAGGATGCCACGCTAGGAGGAGACTCTATGGTGGGGGGAACCGGACTTCCAGTAGGCAGAGGAAAAAAGGACACCGTGCTAGGAGGAGACTCTATGGTGGGGGAACCGGACATCCGGTCGGCTCCAGAATTGAACAGGGGGCAGGACCTTTGTGGCTCTGAGTGTTTAAGGTTGCCGAACCCTGTTCTATAAGAACCTTCACCAGAGAGATACAATAGGGTGACAGACAATTCTGCTAGGAGGGCAAATATTAAGAATTGGTTTTGAGCAAAATAAGCCCCCCTCCCCCAAAGGCTGCCTCCTCTCCTTCGTAGAGCAGACTTGGGGTGGGCATTAGGTGGCATAGACTAGTGGGTACACAGAAAAGAGAGCCTGAGTTCTGCACTACTAGTTCAATGCAGCTCCCTCTTGCTAGTGGGAGTAACTGGACCACTCAGGAAAAGTGGAGGAAGAGAAGAGAGGTTCTTGTGGATGCCACTTACCTTGTGCTCTCCACCCAGAGGTGTCTTCATTCTTTCCTTCCTGACAGCATCATCATGACTGCATCCTCCACCTTGCTTGCTTTGATCCTGATGCCTCTTTGTCTGTGGATCTACAGCCGTGCTTGGTTCAACACCCCATTAGTGCGCCTGTTGCCCCTGGGGGCTGTCAGCCTGACCTTGTGCAGTACTCTAATCCCCATCGGTCTTGGCGTTTTCATCCGCTACAGATACACAAGACTGGCGGACATTATTGTGAAGGTAAGCTGAGTACACATATGTCTCCTAATAGAATGTATGTATGTATGTATGTATGTATGTAAGTATGTATGTATGTATGTATGTATGTATGTATGTATGTAACCAACCAGGGATGGGATTAAGCCGGGGATGGGATTCAGCCGGTTCCGACCGGTTCGGGCAAACAGGATGCTAATTTTGCATCTGGTTCGCGGAACCGGTAGTTGGAAGGACTGGTTGGCCCTGCCCACCCCTCCCCTCCCAGGAGTCTCCACACAGCCCATTCATCCTGCCAGGTAAGTGCAGGGCCTGTGTGGAGGCTCTGGGAGGGGAGGGGTGGGCAGGGCCAGCCAGTCCTTCCAACTACCGGTTCTGGAAAGGGCCTGTTTCGGCCTCCGGAGGGCCTTCGGAGTCTGGGGGAGGCTGTTTTCGCCCTCCCAGAGACTCAAGGAAAACCTCCAGAGTCTGGGGAGGGAGAAAACTACCCCCTCCACCATGGTGGAGAAGGCCCAGGGCTTCGCCAAGTAGGGCACACACCTTTTGGCCATGCCCACCCAGCAACCGGGCAGAGAACAGATTGCTAAAAACCCCTGTATGTAGCTCAGGGTTGAATTGTGTAGTCCTTGGCGGTCTTGGCTTGCAGGCGTTCCATTACCTGAGTAGGTAACATTGTGTAGCATTGATGCTATCTACTTGGGTAATGGAAAGTCTGCGAGGAAACAACCAAGCTCCTGGAGCACCAAGGACACCAGAGACCAGTCCTTACCGGGTGCAAGAAAATGTCTCTGATCCCTCTACTTGAGTAGCTAAAGAAGCCTCCTCATCTTGTACATCCCACCTGTCAGCATAGCAATAGCAATAGCAGTTAGACTTATATACCGCTTCATAGGGCTTTTAGCCCTCTCTAAGCGGTTTACAGAGTCATCATATCGTCCCCAACAATCTGGGTCCTCATTTCACCCACCTCGGAAGGATGGAAGGCTGAGTCAACCTTGAGCCGGTGAGATTAGAACCGCTGAACTGCAGATAACAGTCAGCTGAAGTGGCCTGCAGTACTGCACCCTAACCACTGCGCCACCTCGGCTCTCTGCATTTAAGTTTAAGTTAAAATTTGCTTTATTGTCACTGAGCCTCGTACAACGAAATTAAATGCCATCTTCAGTGTACATTATACACGTAAAAAGACATATCCTTCTCGTTCTATACAATTGAACTGAAAACCCCTGATATTACATTAATATTGCACTATAACAGGA